ATTATCCATGTCATGTCAGGGTCTGGGATTCTGACACAGAAGTTAACCATCTCGTCTTTAGTCCATGATTTCAAGGGTTTTTCTGATTTGCCTCAGTCAGGCTGAAATAAGCTCTGTTTGAGAGAGTGTGCCAGTGTTTCAGTATTTTTTATACATATAGGGGTATTTTCTTTGCATCCATGTTCACAGACACTGGCTTTCTCCAGCGTCCATGAGCAAAATCAGACCTGTTTCAATGCAGTGCTGTCAGACTGCCTGACGATTGTGGCCATTTAATATGGATTTTGCATTGTTTTTGTATTTTTTTAATCATATAATGTACTGTAAGTATTTTTATGTTGAGAAGACATTATACTTAAATTGTAGCCGTTTACTTGTACAGTTTTTCACAGAAAGGTGAACTCATTTCCATCTTTAATTCTGAAAGGCTCAGCCTCTCAGAATTAAAGATGTTTATACCGCTCATATTACTGAATAATTCAAATTGTTGTACAGTGTCCCACGGCCTCTTTTGTTTTTAATCTTTAATTGCAACTACCTTAGCTTTTGTTGCTGGCATCGAATGATAATTCTCAGTTTCAGCATCTAGAAGATGGTCTTTGAATCATATACTTTGAAATTTTCTTCCCACATTTCCCACTGAGCTTTTATTTGAATTTTGCAAAACATCCAACTTTTTGGAAACCGGATTATACCTGAAGTCAGATATTGTGTAACTGTGTAGTCAGTGTCATCGACTCACCTGTTAGTTTAACAACAAACAGGAAGGCCATTAGGAGGTGGCAGGATTGAGCCGGGTTCATCATAGTAACTGGTGCAAGAAGAAAAAATAAGCATCAATGGTCAGTATCACAGATCACAAGTACATGAAGATGTTTTGTAGAGTGGAAAAAACAGACATTTTAATCTCATACGCTGTAAATTATAATCTGCACAGACTAACGAGGTAAACTCATCAGTTTGATTGAAAAATTCTGGTATTATTTTGCACAAATCCAAAAGCCCTAAATAGGAAACTTATGTGACATGTGTGATCATTTGTAACCAAACACAACAAGGCTGCAAGACGGTTTCACAAACATAATGACCAAATCAATCCACGCACAGGCAGACATTAGAAACATGCCAACGCATATAAACGCAATTTGTTGTAAGTTCCTAAAATTGTAAGTGTATCCACGACCACACACACACACACACACACACACGAATTTAAAAAAAAAATCAGAGCTAATAAATTATATGTATCAATACATCAAATAAAGTTGTTCATACAGGTCGCATTAGCACTCTTACTACCAGCATCATTTACTAACTATTCATCACATCTTAGAACTTTTATCTCAGAGTTTTGTGATCTATGTAGCATAGTAGTGACAGTATCAATACACAAAATCGCTACACAAACACACAACACACACGTACAAAAACCTGCCAAGGTGCTCAAAACCTCACAAAGGGAAATCTAGTCTCAACACATGTCGTCTGTGGCAATATGAACTCCTGCAAAGTTTGAATTTTATGAATACAATGGTGCAGTGAAGTTATGGGCATTAACACAGAGGCAAAGTCATTCATAAAGTTTGTCCAAGTTCTACATTTAAATGGAGTCATTTGAACTTTTAATTAAAAATAAAGAAAATCCAGATTAAGCTTTACTTTCTTATTACACAATCAGCTGCTACACTGCCATTAATTCCACACCCGCGCTGCTAATGAGCAATACTATATAAGCAAGGCTTCCTCACCTTATTGGGAGTCGAGTATAAATCCGCACAGGCCGGGACACACGCTCTAACACAATCCTCTCACGCCGAGACAAGTTTGAGAACTTGGGCCTCTTTTATATTGTGTTCATACCTGTCACTCTCATTATTCCCCACGATACACATTGATACACCATTTATCTAAATGTCTCTGTCTCACACACAGAAAGGAGAGTCTGACCTAGTACAAGAAAAAAAAAGACATCCCCAGCCTTGTCTTTCATTACACCTTTCTTTCTTGGGCCTTTGTTCTCACAGCTTCAGCCTATTGTCTAGTGGTGGAGACAAAGTATTGCTGTGCAATGGTGAAACCCAACAAGCCAGAGAGATGATAAAATACACCTACCAGACATCTTGTTAGTATATCCAGTGGTGTTAAAGAGCGCAGGACAAAAGCACGAGTATGAGGAATGATATCAGCATTATAACAGCATAACAACTTATAACAGCATTTATTCTTTACTTGGACAAGGAAAAACGTATTCTCAGAAATTGCGTTAAACTGAGATGAGCGTGGGAGCATTTCCGTCTGCTTCCCCCTGCACACACAGGTCCACATAAAAAGACACCATCGTCATTTTTTTGTTCTAAAACACTTGCAGAGCGATATGATTCAGTGTTTGCTCTAAACTGTTCTTCTGGTGTTTTCTTAAAGTTTTGGTGTTTTGGTGGTAAACCTTTTAAAACATGTCACATTTTCAACCATTAGGACCCAACATTCTCAAAGTGTTTTTAATAACAAGTCTGACTCTTATGTAAGCTTATGTAATTGTCAAGTCTTTGCACATATGGCCAGTTTCTAATGAATTAACCTAACATCGATGTCTGCGGGAGGAAGCCAGAGTACTTGGAGGAGAACCTTTTCTACTGACCACTCTTTTAGCCATACATTTGTACAGTGTTTTAATTTTGACACTTTAAGTACTTCATCTACCTCTCATTCATACACAGATTAACAGATTAAGCGAACATGCATGTCTTTGGAATGTGGGAGGAAGCCAAAGTAGTGGAGAACAGTGAGAACATGCAAACTCCAGGTATCCACCAGGTTTCCAGAACCTTTTTGCTGTGAAGCAACAGTACCACTACAGTGCAGTCCTAGTATGGCAAAGTTTATTACCTGGGAAAATAAAGCATGCAGTGAGTATAGTCACTAAAGTTTACCAAAGGGGTTTAGGGAAAGACAAGCAGACGAGCTTAAAAAGAACAATTTCTTACCTTAACAGCTCCCCCACACCACATCCACCACATCCGTGAAAAACTGCAGGCTGTTCTGTTTTTGT